CAAAACCCTCCCCCCCCCCAAAAAAAAATTTGATTTGATTGCAGAACATATAAAAATGTATGAAGACTCATTATATTTTATTTATAAGACAGAAACAATATATTGTGTGATTCTATTGGCCTAGAAATAGAAGTAGATTAGTAGCTACTGGGGGCTGAGAGATAGGAGTAAGAGAAACAAGTGCTAATGAGATGAGATTTTTTTAAAAAGTTTTTTTAGTTATTGACAGACCTTTATCTTATTTGTTTATACACAATGCTGAGAATAGAACCCAGTACCTCACACATGCCAGGCAAGTGCACTACTGCTGAGCCCCAGCCCCAGCCTCGAGATGAGATTTCTTTGAGGGCTGAGAAAAATGCTCAGGAATCAGATCGTGGTGATGGTTGTGAGTGCTCTAAAAGCTGAGTTGTGGACCTTAAAATGCTACGTAACAAAACTGGCTGCAGTGGCACACACGTGTAATCCCAGCGACTCCGGAGGCTGAAGCTGGAGGATCACACACTCAAGGCCAGCCTTAGCAACTTACTGAATCCTGTCTCAAAACAAAACAAAACAAAAAGCAGGACATGATGTAGCTCAGTGGTAGAATATTCCTGGGTTTATTCACTAGGACCGATGGGAGGTAGCAGTGAAAAAACCTAAAAGGACCAATAATTGTAGGAAAAAAAATTAAGTTATCAAAGACTTTGTCCCAATAGAGGCTCTTTTGCCAGATAGGCTCTAAAGAAACAAAAATTCATTTGCTCCATTTATATTCTCTTTCCAGAGCATAAAAGATGGAAATCTGTCAGATTCATCTTGAGAAAATAGTGTGTCTCTAATATCAAACCTTCACAAAGTTATTGAAAAGAATCTTGCATGTGAGTGCAGGGCCAAGAGCCCACAGTGACATCTGAAGCACTTTGTGTGGCCTGTGCCTGATTGCTATTACTTCTGATGAAGCTGCGGGTTTAAAAAGTGAGAATGTTTACACAAAATTTTTGGCTCCTCCAGAAAAAAGAAAAGGTGTGATATTGCAGCGTCCGTCTCCTCTGCAGGGACCACGGGCTGAAGTGGAATGGGGCTGTGCGGGCCTGGATCTTTGCCCTCCCCGTTTCCCTGGGCCTCCCCGTTTCCCTGGGCTCCCCACTTCCCTCGTCTCCTTGATGTTATGGCTTAGTGTCATTTGCCATTTTAAACAATCATTTTTTGTAAAGAAACATCTAATCATATCCCAGATCTTTTGAAGAGGAGAAAATGGAAGAACAAATACGGAGAAGGTGTATTTTAGTGGTTGCCTTACTGTGAGGCTGGGGTAATCAGACAGTGTGGGACTGGCATAAGGATGGACAATAGATCAGTGGATCACAAGGGGAAAACCCACACAGAACTCACAAATTTGCTATTTGACAGACACCAAGACAACTCAGTGGAGAAGATGGGATCTGGGTGTTCCAGAGCACGTGGAGACCAGCTTCACAGCTCTGGTCGACTTCCAAGGCCTTCATCCAGGCAGGCTCCCTGCAGAGCTCTGGAGGCCCCGAGACCCCCAGAACAGCCCCTGCTCAGCCGCCTGGTATGGCTGCTCGGCGAGACGTCCTGAGGGCCATGGTGCTCGGTGGAGGCAGCAGCAGGTGCCGTGGGCCCGGATCCTGCTGCTTCCTCCCCTCCAGACCAGCACAACACAGATGGCCACAAAGGGACACCCCTTGAAATGTACAGATTCACTGGCCATCAGAGGCAGAGAGGGGTGAAGGACAGGAAGCCATCCTTGCTGTGCCGCCATGTTTGTTTCTTGAGAGAGCTGGGCTTGTGCTCACCAGTGATCTTCCTGGAGCCTTTGGCCCAGCAGTGTGTTAAGTATGCAGGTCCGTCTCGGGGAAGGTGGGTTCTTTCCTTGACTTGGGAACTCTTCCAGGTGCAGGACACTGTGGCAATGCCCTTGGGGTGGGAAGTGACAGCTATATGGATCTGTGTTTTCCAGGCTATTCCACTGCAAAGAATGAAGTCACTGGTCCAAAGACAAGGAGTGGCCCAGAGCGGGGCTCACTGACCGTGCAGTGTAATTATACCTCAGGCTGGAAGACCTACAAGAAGTACTGGTGTCGAGGAGCTGCTTGGAGGGGCTGCAAAACCCTTGTTAAAACCACTGGGTCAGAGCAGGAGGTGAAGAAAGACCGTGTGTCCATCAGGGATGATCAGGAAAACCTCACGTTCATGGTGACCATGGAGGACCTCAGGAGAGATGACGCTGACATTTACTGGTGTGCAATTGAGAGGGCTGGATCTGACCATGGGTTTCCAGTTGATGTGACCATTGATCCAGGTAAGAGTGTGTTGATGTGTCCCTGAGGTCCCACTGAAGTGAATGGTCCGTTATTCAGAGTGACCTGTCACAGAGGGGCTTGAATCCCGAGGTCTCACAGAATCCTGAGTGAACATTTGGGGTTGGCCAGGGGTGGGGCTTCTTTAAAAGCCCCGGATCCTGGAACCTCCTCCAGGAAGTCAGCCAGAGCAGACTCTCTTTTCCCTCTGCACAGCTCAGTCCTGAACCTTCGCCAATAAAGGTCAAGGTGATGGTCCCCAGTTTTAGCCCTTGGTCTGGAGAGACCTGCTACTGCTTTCCTGGGACCTCAGTGTCCAGGGGTGCCCTGCTCTTTGGGGTGCTCTGGGCGGGGCCTGGACAGGTGCTGTTCTCACCCCCCTCCATATCCACCCTGGGGGAGAAGAAGCCCTGTGGAGTCTGGTGTGTTGGTCTGACTCCTGAGCCCAGAGAGGCGTTCCTGCTGCTGGGAACCCGCTGGGAGCCGCTCATGCCTTTGGCTTACTGAGGGTCTGGTCCTAAGTCCTTCAGAAAGCAGGCGCTGCTGGAGGCTCCAGGGTCCCAAGGCCTGGGTTTGAAGGCGTTTCCTGTTGACTCTGCTGCTCGGCCCCTGGACAGGCGGCACCAGCTGGCAGGGTTCTGGGGGCACAAAGGAGCACCACAGTCACCAGAGCCCAGGCCTGGAACCTCTGGGGCGTGTTCTGGTGGCACAGTGGGCAGCAGGCATTGTCTCTCAGAATTCTGACAATGCCCAGGAGGAAGGTGTCCCCATTATCGAATCTTCTTACCTTGCCTGAAGTGGAGGCCTTCCAGAACATTCTGATTTTGTTCAGGGATGGTCTTGATCTTAGAAGTCTTCAATCTAGGGTATACGTTAGCCCCTGTACTAGTCCCTCAGGCTCCTGGGTCCTTGCTGAATGGAGAAGGCCAAGGGAGCCACTGCCTGAGGCACTGTTATAAGCAGAGGGTTGTTTAAGGTTTAGCTGAGCCCCAGTTGTCCTTGTCCTGAAGCTCTTCCTGGGGGCCCTCTGACCCTTCCTCTCCCAGAGATCAGGGGGATATGAGTGGTCCAGGATCCAGCCCCTCCACCCAGCCCTGATCCAGGCATCTCCAGCAAGGGGGGCCATGCTATCTGCAGGCTCGGAGCCAGGAGCAAGGCTGGGGGCTGGCAGGAGGAGTAGTGTGTGATCTGTTTGTATGTCAAGCACCAACTACAGCGTCCCCAACTACAACAGTCCCCAACACCTCCACCTCCACCACCAACATGTCTACAGCACCAGTCACCGAGGAAAAGACCACCTGCCTCTCGACTCACCCTGCCACCAGGTAAGCAGGCTCTGTTACTGCGGTCCCCTGTGGCTTAGTTGGCCCAGGCTGCTCCAGTGGGGAAAGGTCCTAGGGCTTCAGGTTCCCTGGTGAGGGTGAGGACCCTGGGAGTCCTCCCGCTTGCTCTCAGCCCCTGGGAGCTGTCATCCTGGGCACAGTCTTTGGACTTACTGCTTCATCTGTTCTTGGGCCCCACGTTTACTGAATTCACTTCTACATGGCAGGCGTAGAGATGGAGCCCAGTGGGAAAGCAATGAGTAGCAGTCAGTGAGGACCGTGTGGCTGCAGTGTGTGGGCACAGGGTTTAGGACCACAGAGGCTCTGGGCCCAGTGTCCCACCTGGGAGGCTGCGGTAGGTTGGGGGACATCCTGTCTCTCCTAAATCAGTGGCACTGCCGGGCGCAGCGGTATATAACTGTCATCCCAGTGGCTCGGGAGGCTGAGGCAGGAGGATCGTAAGTTCAAAGCCAGCCTCAATAACTTAGCGAGGATCTCAGCAATTTAAAGAGACTCTGTCTCAAAATAAATAAAATAAAATAAAAAGGACTTGGGATGTGGCTCAGTGGTGGAGCACCCCGGGTTCAATACCTGGTTATTCCCCCCAGAAGAAAAAAAAAACAGTAGCACGGGTAGCTCCCATCCTAGGCTCCTGGCAGCTCACGACAGGATTTCCTGCCCATAATTATGTTTTCTTTGACCTTGCCTCTGACCGCCCCATGAGGAGGAATCTTACAGGAGAGACTGAGCCTCATCACTTCCTTGATGAGGGTCACTCTGGAGCTTGGATGGAGTCTGGCCTCCAAACCCAGAGCAAGGCTCAGGCTTCTCAGTGCCCTGCCCAGCCATCTGCAGTCAAAGGGCTTTCGAGAAGCCGAGAGCCTCTTTGATTTCCTCCTTTGGCTTTTCTTGACCCTTTCAACTTTGTGGCTATTTTTTAGATCTGCCAAGGTCTTCTATTGCTGGGCCCTGTCACCCAATCTCTATGGGACTCCCCAATCTCTCCACCACCAGGGACTCCCTTCTCTCCCCCCTCTCTCATTTGCCCTCTGTTTTGAGATTTTTTTTTTCTTACCAAACTGCATTTAAAAAGAATAGCCAAGGAGTCCCCATCTTATTAATCAAAGCTTGTGTGAGTGCCACTAGAGCCTTAGACTAGCGCGAGACGGATGATTTGTTCATTTAGTCAACAAACAGCCACGGAGCGTCCATTCACGCCTGTCGCTGTTTTGAGGAACACGAGGGGGTACAGGAATGAACAGAGAGTCCAGGGATCCGCCCTCAAGTTCTTCCACCTCAAGATAACTCCTGGAACCAATTAAAGTAGATATAATTAATTGACACCTGTGTCTTCATATTCCTGTGAATTCAAAGTTGAACGGGGGGGTCCTTGTATGCGCCCCTAGAGCTGCCCTAACAAGCACCACAGGCTGGGGACTTAAGGAACAGGAATTTATTTTCCTCACACTTCTGGGGCCAGGTGACCAAGACCAAGGTATCAGTCAGAAGGGCTGGTTTCTTCCAAGGTCTCGTCCTTTGCTTGTAGAAGGCCATCTTCCTCTGGGGTCTTCATGTGGCCTCCCTTTTGTGTAACTCTATGTCCTAATTTCTTCTCACAAGGACACCAGTTACACTGGATTAGGGCCCATACCAATGACATCAATGACCTCTTTAACTTTAATTACTTCCTTTTTTTTTTTAGTTTTGAGACAGGGTCTTGCTAAGTTGCAGAGGCTGGCCTTGATCTTGCAATCCTCCTGCCTCGGGCTCTGAGTCACTGGGATTATAGGCATGTGCCACTGTGCCTGGTGTGCCACTGGGCCTGGCTTCAATAACCTCCTTAAAGACCTTTTCTCCAACTATAGTCACATTCTGAGCACCGAAGGGAGAGTCCGTCCCATGCTTTCTTCTAGCTTCAGGTGGTTGCCAGCAATCTTTGGGGCTTCTTGGCTTGTAGCTGCATCAGTCCAACTTCTGCATCTGTGGTCACCTGGCTTCTCCCTGTGGGTGTCTGGGTCCGAATTTCCCTCATTGCCGTGACAGTCATTGGCCAGGGCCCACCCTAAACAGTACGACTTCATCTTACCTTGATCACATTGGCAAAGACCCTACTTCCAAACAGGTCATGTTCACAGGCTCAAAGTGCACACAAGTTTGGGGGGACATTGTTCAGTCTAGCAGAGAGGGCAGGCATAGAAGCAGGGAGACCTGGTGGGAGCCCATTGCCCTGTGATTTCTGCTGGGCCACTAGACCTACCGACCCCTACCTTGTGAGCCCTCCTCTCCTTTATTAAAAACATCTTTGAGGGCACCCAAGAGTTTCCCTGGCTGTGAAACCAAGTCCTGCAGGCTGTGAGGTCTTCGGCCCTCCCCACCTCCAGGGCCCAGGAGAGGGCTGAGACGGAAGCCGAGCGGGGTGCACAGTCCCCTCTGTCATCCCCAGGCACCCCATCACCGAGCTCAGGATCCTCCTCCCGCTCATCTTTGCTGGGCTGATGCTTCTCCTGATGGCGGCCTCACTCCTGGCTTGGAGGATGATGAGGCGGCAGAAGAAAGGTGAGAGGCCCCCCGGCCCCGTGGGGTTGGGGCTGGAGGGGTGGGGTGTGGCCAGCCCAGGAGCCTTTGCTCAGAGATCATGAAACCCTTTTCCTGCCTGGCCTTACTTCCACATTCTCACGAGTCGTGCCACTTCTCAGAATGCTTGGGCCCCAGCTCTTGCGAAACCTGCCCTAGCTGGGAGTCCGTCTGTCTGGCGGGAGGGCTCACCACCTCTTCTCCTGAGTGCGTCAGCCAGGCCTAAGTCTTAAGGACACCTCAGCATCTAGATATTTGAAACTAAAAACTGGGGGGAAACCCTTTCTTCTTTTTGTCTCTGGACCACAAGGGCTGGGGGTGCTGAAGAGGGAGGATCAAAGGCAGAAAGCGGGGCTGGGTGGTGGCTCAGTGGTAGAGCGCTTGCCTGGCATGCATGAGGCACTGGGTTCGATTCTCAGCACCTCGTATAAAAAAATAAAGGTCCATCAACAATGAATAAAATATTAAAAATAAAAAAAAATCACAAAGAAACTCAGGAGTCAGTACTTCCCTGGAAGCCAGTCCGTGCTGTGCTGACCCCGCTGGGGGCAGCTGGGAGCAATTCTGCCTCCAGATGCGAGGAAGGGACAGGCCCTGCTGCCCAGTGACCCAAAGCCCACCTGAAGACTAACTCGATTTCACTGGGACAAACAGAAGCAGGGGCCGGGAGAGGGGGGTTGGCAGCCTGGTAGTTGCGGGAGGCAGGCACAACTTTGAGCTGAGCCTGAAGGACACACGAGGCAGAGGAATGTGGGAGTTCAGCAGAACCTCAGGCAGAAGTGACAGCCTGGGCTCAGCATTTTGCAGAAAGAAATTGAACTCCAGGGGCACCGATGGCTGGCCGGTAGGGCCACCCGAGCAGTTGATGGGCTAGTTCTCGGATGTGGGGACCCAGTGGGCTGGGTCTTCCTCTTTTTTTCAGATGGAAAGATGGAAGCTCAGAGAGGGGATGTGGCCAATGTCACCGAGTGTCATCTGAGGAGTCACAGTTAGATCTGGGTCTCCTGTCTCTGAACCTGGAGCCTCATCCACCCCCTTTCCCACCACGTTTCTCTTCTGGGCCTCTGTGGGCCTCAGGGATGGGCCTTCTGATTCTGGCTTGTTTTTGTCTTTCAGATGCGGGGCTGTCCCCAGAGCAGGTAAGAGAGTCCCTGAGGTCACACCTGAGAGACCAGCCAGCTCCTTCTCCCTCTTCGTTGTTTCCCAACTTCCAAGAGCCCTGATGTCAGACCAATCATGTACCGAAGCACCCATGCCCCCCTGGCCCCCGCAGGCCCAGAAGGATGAGAGGCCTGGAAATATCCAGAGGGGAGGAGGCCTCAGGGGCAAAGGGGGTGGGAAAGTGGGGGGCACCCGGGAGTCACTGGGAAGCGGATAGGCTCATGTCCCGGTGTGGAATAGGAGCCTGTGCCCACAAGCTGCTCAGTGACTCCGCCTGTGTCCCCTCCCCAGGCGCTGCAGCCCCTGGAGGAGGACCTCTGCTATGCCAACCTGTCCGTGCTGCAGCCCAGATCCTCCGCCAGCTCCTCCCGGAAGAAGGCCTCTGCCCAAACCTTCTCCTCGGCCCAGGCTGACCAGGAGGAAGTGGAATATGTCACCATGGTGTGTCCTTTGTGGGGACTCCCCTGGGACTGGGCGGGGCAATGTTTGGTCGGCCCCACTTTGAGGATGGGTTTTCTGGTAACTACATGGGCCCAGCAGAGGAGGGTGGGCTGGGCCGGGCCGCAGTCATTGCAGGACTGGCCCGAGGACCACCCCCTCAGGCTTTCAGAAGTGTGTTCACACGAGTTCTTAGCACTGGGGAGGCCAGGGAGACCCACTGTGGTCCTCGCATGGGCAGGAGAGAGGCAGCAGAGGTGGGATTCTGTTGTGCTGGGGAGCCTGGCAGAGCGGGGGGAAGCTGGAGGGCGTGGAGTGAACTGGAGAAGCTTGCGTCCTGCACGGGCCTCCTCTGAGGGTTCCTCTGTCCCAGCCCGCCAGCCCCTCAGATCTCCTTGACCATCTCTATTGCAGCCCCCCTTACCGCGGGAGGACATTTCCTACGCATCTCTGTCTTTGGACCTCTTGGACCAGGAGCCGACCTACAGCAACACAGGCCACATTCCCAGCAGGGACCACGAGGAGCCCACAGAGTACAGCGTCATCAGGAAGTCTTAGCCTGGTCCCTGGCTCCCTCTTGGACCCGCACGAGGCCTCGGCGTGTCCCTCCTCATCTGCTTTCTGCCCCAGCTCCCCCATCAGGACCAACCAGTGGCTGAGGCTCTACCTGATCAGCCACCATGGCCTGCGGCTCTAACCTGGGCTTGGGGCCCAGCCTCAGGGGGGCTTTGGGGAACTAGTAGCCTTTGGGGAACTATCTCCTCCTCACCCACATAAACTGGGAGAGGGGTGGGGATAGGCTCTGGGGTGGCCATGGGAATAGTAATGGTAATGATAATAATGGTAATTAACCTTTATTTATTGCTTACTGTGTTCGGGGGACAGAAGGCCCCCCAAAGACGTCCATATCCTAATTTCCAGAACCTGTGAATATACCTTCTGTGGCAAATGATGCTGCATGTGAGATTAAGTTAAGGAATTAGCGGTGGAGAGATTATTCTGGATTATCCAGTGGGCTCAAAATACAATCACAAGGGCCCTCCTACGAGGGAGGAGGAAGTCAGAAGGGGAGAAGGCAAAGTGTCCCGGAAGTGGAGGTTGGAGCAGCATGGCTAGGAGTCAAGAAGGCTGCAGCCTCCAGAACCTGGAGCCTCCAAAAGGAGCCAGCCCCCGACACCTGTAGAACTGACTTTGTACTTTTGGCCCCCCAAACTGTAGAGGAATAAATCTGTATTGTTTAAAGTTAAGCCACTAAGTTTGTGGTGATTTGTGTACAATAGCAATAGGTTGCTCTGTGGCAGGTGCTCTCCCTTGAGTGGTTTACATGTGGTCGCTAATTCAGTCCCTACAAGGGTGCCTCTGTCATTGCCCCATTTTACCGATGAGGAACCCGAGGTATAGATAGGCTCAGTCACTGGCACCAAGGATTGTGGCTGGTAGGCCCACGAATTCCAGTTTGGTTCTGGAGTCTGAACCACAACCCTGCCCTGTTTGTGTAAGAAAGATAGTGTGTGTATGTGTACCCACTCAGAGAGTCACTTACACAAGGACAGTGAGTAGTTTTAGATGCTGGACTTATTACCCTTATTCTAGGGTCCTGCCTGCCCTGTCTCCAGAACATGTCCCAAATCCCGTGGTGTCTCGTCATCTCCATGGTTCCCAGCCTAGTCAGGCGTCCATCCGCCCCCTGCCTGTTCTCCCTCATTCATTCTCTGCCCCTGAGTCCTTCTCCTGAGAGCAGCCGTAATGACCTTTTCAAAGCAGAGAGCTGATCATCCTCTGCTTATGACCTTCCTCAGCCTCAAGGGCAGGAGTCTACCCGGCCGCCTGGCCCGACTCTATCCACTCTCCCTCTCCTCTGCTCTGCTCCACCCACACCTGCCTTTCTTCTGTCCTTCTAAGACGTCGGATTTGGACCTGAAATGTCCCCCAGAGGCCATGAATTGAAGGCTTGGTCCCCAGCTGATGGTGGTCTTGGGAGCTGGTGCAACCTTCAGAAGGTGGGGCCTGGTGAGATGAAAGAGGTCACGGGGGTGTGTCCCTGAAGGGGATGTTGGCCCCTCCTGTCCCTCTGTCTTCCTACCACCAGGAGGTAAGCAGCTTTGCTGTGCTCCATGCTCCATGCTGATGTTCTGCCTGGCCAAGCCTCAAAGGCAATGGGGCCAAGCATCATGGCCTGACACCATGAGTCCAAATAAGTCTTTCCTCCTTATAAGTTGATTATCTCAGGTGTTTCGTCACAGCCATGGAAAGCCCACACGAAGATAAGGCTTGCTCCCTTATCTGCACATTGGCACTTGTTGTTCTTTCTTTCTGGAAAGTTCTTCCTGCAGATCTGTGAATAGTTGGCTGTATTTCATCGTCACATTTTAGCCTAAATGTCCCCTCTCAAGGGGGCCTTCCTCAATTACCCTCAGGGTGACAGTCCCTGCAACCTACCCCCCAAATCTCTTTGTCTCTTTGCCCTGTTTTGTTTCCTTCATAGCATGAGCCTGGTGAACTTTCTTATGACTTATTTAGTGGTATGTGGGCTTGTTGTTCCCCACTAGTCTGCGTGCTTCTCGTTTGTCCCTGTATCCCCCTTGGTTAGCTAGTGTCTGGCATGTAGCTAGTGTCTGCCCTCTGCCTGGAGGACAGAGTCCTATTACTTCACTTGGGTTGATTTTGGTGGGGGCTGGGGCTGAAGTGTCAGTTGTAATGACTTGAGAAGGAAGGCCAAGCTAAACCTGAGGACCACAGGAAAGTGACGCAGCAGGCACAGGGCCCATTGTTAGCATGTGCTGAGGTTTGCCTGACTATTCACAGCTGCTACCCTGAGTGGACCTGGGGCAAGTGGCCTTGGTGGCTGAATCCTGCATTCATTGCTCCAAATATAATTCTCTGGAATCTTAAGAGCTTTTCCATCCTTGGGGGGAATTTGTAGAGCTAAGAAGCTTGACTGATCTTGAGCTGGTCATTTCAACTGGTTGGGTCACAATAAGACCTTTTTTTTTTTTTTTTTCTTCTTTGAGACAGGTCTGGCTAAGTTGCTGAGGCTGGCCTTGAACTCATGATGCTCCTGCCTCAGCCTCCCGAGTCACTGATATTGCAGACGTGCACCATTGTGCCCATCTGTGAGACTGTTTTTGTGACCCAGGCTGTTTTAAGATTTTCAGAACAAGAAAAGATTTAAATGGAAAAGCTTTGGGGCTGGGGATGTGGCTCAAGTGGTAGCACGCTCGCTTGGCATGCGTGTGGCCCAGGTTCAATCCTTAGCACCACATAAAAATAAAGGCATTGTGTTGTGTCCATCTACACCTAAAAATAAATATTAAAAAAAAACCATGGGGCTGGGGATGTGGCTCAAGCGGTAGCGCGCTCGCCTGGCATGCGTGCGGCCCAGGTTTGATCCTCAGCACCACATATAAACAAAGATGTTGTGCCTGCTGAAAACTAAAATATATATATATATATATATATATAGATATATCAGCCTATCTATGTTTTGCTAAATTCTCTCTCTCTCTCTCTTTAAAAAAAATAAAATAAATGGAAAAGCTCAAAGCAGAGCAAAATTAGAGTGAGTCAAAGTATAAGAATAAAAGTTATAACATAAAGCCTTCAGCCAGGGCATCACTGGGCCATTTTAACTATTGTGTACAAAGTGGCTTTATTTTTTAGTTTATTTCAATCATCCTGCACCAAACAGTGTTATGAGTACATGCTCAGGTTGTTTAGCAAGGAGTTCATTTTTCTGGTGACACATGATCACAGATCTAGTGAGCATTACTGCCATGATGCAAATATAGAAATACAGAGAAAGATAGAATTTAGCTCAGCTTGGCTTGGCTGGAATCTGGTGCTCTGCCTTTATCTGGACAAATGGATATGGGCTGAGAAGGTTCTGGCAGCCTGGCTGAGATGGCCAAGAAAGACTGATGCACATGGACCACTTTTAATTTCCTTCCACAGGCTTTGAGAGCGGTGTGTGAAAGACAGATATGTTGCTGGAGATAATATTTTAATTCAAAATTTCAGCCCTCTGGGTTGGTGGCTTTCTGCAAAGGGACCTTTCTTAAGATCCTCAGAGTTTGAATTGACTAGCTCCTGAGATTCGTGAACTGGGCCAGTCAATCCCGAGGTGGACAGAGAAGATTCGGACTGTTTCTAATGGATCTGTCTGGGTTCCTTATAGGTTGGCTTATGGCAGGAGGGTCAGCCTCTAATCCAGCCTGGTTTGCTCAAGTTTGTACTGTGAGTTTGGAGACTGCTGGGGAAGTTGGGGTGGGGGAAGAGAGGCAAACCCAGGCAAGAAATTGGAAAGGAAACTATTTCATAATGTTTACAGATGCGTGTCTGGGTATTGTCTCAGCCGTATCCTGCTGCTCCATCAAGATTTCGCTACAGCATTTTGTGTGGCTGGCCTTTATTGCAAGGCGGAGAATTTGGATATGGTTCCTCTGGTCTGAGCGAGGGTGACATTTACTATCTTGCTGTACAGTTTCCAGGAAAGAACCTTCTGTTAAAGCAAGCTCCAGGATATTGAAGTGCTCCAGTCTGATTGAGTGCCAAATTATTTATAGCTCATCTACAGTTGCTGGGGGTTCCCTCTTTTGGTTTCTGAATTATTAATATTTAAAGATTCCACTTGAAAAAAAATTGGAGGGTTTAGATAGTCTCCCTTGAGGAACTGTGTGCACATCATTGGCTTCCAGAAGACCAAACTTTTAAAATTTTGAGTCAGCTGAAAGAGTTAAAAAAAAAAATAAAAAAATCCTCAATAAAATATATATATATATATATGATTGATTGAGGATCTTGAAAATACATGATAAATGTTAAATTGAACTTGATTGAGGGCTACCTTTGCTTGACTCTTTGAAAACAGAGTTTATTGACACTTTAGACTTGGAAGGGCTGAGTGCTGGAATCAGTTGATTTTATATAACAATAATTTATTAGGTTGAGAGAGACAGGTGGAGTGATCAGCTTTTTATTTCACCTGGTTGGTGAGTTCTTACCCCTACATTGAAAAGGTTGGTTAAACCAGGGAATCACAAAGGGATATATCCTTTCTTCAAATGTTTTCCTTTTTTTTTTTTGGTACCAGGGATTGAACTCAGGGGCAATCAACCACTGAGCCACATCCCCAGCCCCATTTTGTATTTTATTTAGAGACAGGGTCTCACTGAGTTGCTTAGTGCCTTGCTAAGTTGCTGAGGCTGACTTTCAACTTTCGATCCTCCTGTCTCAGCCTCCCCAGCCGCTGGGATTATAGATGTGTGCCACTGCGCCTGCCAAATGTTATATTTTGATTCAAAATATCTGAATTGTAGTAATCGGCTGGCATTTTGATGTAGACCTAAGGCCTTTTTTTCTGAGTCTGATGAAAGACAGGCCCTTTGTTTTTCCTGAGTAACACATATTGTGTTGTCCTGGAATTTTGGTTTCCTTAATATGAAGCAAGAAACTCTAGCTATTTCTGATTGCAAAATCCTTCTTCATTTTTAGTTTCTCTCAATATTTTATGGTTCCCTCACCCATTCCTAATTTGATAGTATTTCTTAAAATTGCAGGATTGAACCCAAGGGCACGCTACCACTGAGCTACATGCCCAGCCCTTTTTATTTTGAGACAGGGACTATGGTTTTGATGTGAGATGTCCTCCAAAAGCTCATGTGTGGGACAAGGCAAGCAAGTTCAGGAGGTGAAATGATTGGGTTAGGAGAGCTTTAGCCCAGTCAGTGCAGGAATCCACTGTTAGGGATTAACTTGGTGGTGGCCGTGGGCAGGTAGGTGTGGCTGGAGGAGGTGGGTCCCTGGGGGCATGCCTTTGGGGTTTATGTTTTTCCTCTGGTGAGTCGTCTCCCTCTGCTTCCTGGTGGCCAGGTCCTGAGCTGCTTTCCTTTTCTGAACGTTTCTGCACCTTGGGCTCAGAGCAATGGGGCCAGCCGACTGTAGACCAAGACTTCTGAAGCTGTGAGCCCCAGATGAACTTTGTGTCCTCTAAAATTGTTCTTGTCAGGGCTTTTGGTCACAGTGGTGAAAAAGCAGACTGAAACCGACTTGTCAGATTGCTGAGGCCGGCCTTGAACCTGTAGGATTATAGGAGTATGCCACTGCACCTGGCTCAGCTTAACTTTTGTATAAAGAACAATCCTCTGTTGGCTTACACTCTTATTCCACTGGTTAATATTCTTTCTGTTTATATTTTTATTAATTTATGGGTCAATTAATTCAATTACACAATTATGATTCTATACAATTA